ACTCCCCATCAAGTTAGTGCATAGATATCTCTCATGCTCAACTTGCACACAATATGATGAAACACCTTGCCACCCGGACTTTCAGTTAATACATCAACTATCTGGTCTTCTGGTTTCACTAAAGCATATAAATCACACTATTATTCAATTTCTCATTGAAAAAATAACTCAACTCCAAAATCACTATCAATGAACAAGCCAGTTACCAATGGCTATTGTTGATAATGATTTAACTATTCGTTATCAACAATCAAAATTTATGGCTTTGAGGACTTGTTTTTCAAAAACCAGAACCAAAGGACTTATTTATCAAAAACTAGAACCAAAGTCTACAAAACAGTTAGTTTAGGAATGAAAAAGAGCATACACGCAATTTTAGTTTGAATTATTACTCAACAAAGCCTCATACCGATAATTTGAAATCAGCCAGATGAATCTTGTTTTGCCATTCGGCTCAATAGTTCATAACTTCAACCAAACAACACACTATCATGTCTTCCTTTACTTTCTTAACCCACAATGATTTTAGCCTTCCTCTTCCTGTGCATTACCCTTAATGAGAACAATGCCTTCCTTCATTACACTATTATTAGTCATTGGTTTGCATGCTCAATTCATTAGTCTTTTTTTCCCCCCATTTTTTCATTAGGTGATACTTCTTTAATGAGTTAATTTTAGTTTGATTTCATTTCATGATATATCAATATTTATGTTTCACAAGTCTGTTGGAGATAATATATTATGATATCTTCTAATATCTTTGACAATATAATATTATCTCCAACACTCCCTCTCAAGTTGGAACACGGAATGGTTAAAGTGAAGTGTCCAACTTGAACTCGAAAATGTGATGATCATTACAAACAACTACAATGAAGTTGTCGAAAGACAGCAACAATTGTAATCACTCCCTTTAATGCCAACTTCAAAGAATATAGGCAAGGAATCAGCATCTTGCAACAAAGAAACGTGCATGGAATTAGTTACGATGGCAGCAAGAGAAACCAACCGAGAGAGAGAAAGCAACAAGACCGAAGCAATGACAAATCACCACAAACAGAAAGGCCGAAAAAAAGGCGTCCCACAAAGAATGCTACCAAACACACCGGTGGCCCAAAAACAAAGAAGAACCAAATATGTGCTTACCACGTCAGCACAAGGATTCTAAAAGGGTAGAGAAGTAGCCGAAAAACTCAGTATGTCACATAACAATGCTATCAAACACACTAGTAGCCTCGAAATAAGTAAAAAACACAATGTTTGCTTACCACTTCAACAAACTATTAGTCAACTTAAGGAAGAGAGAAAGACACTTTGATAACAAAAAAAGGTGGAGTAAGAAAGCACTCTAGAGAAAAACAAGCCTAGGGTTTGGTTGACTCTGGTACTAAGTTTAATTTTGTAATAAGGCAATAAAGTTGAATATGGAGAGAAAATAGAGACAGGAAAATGAAAAGAAATAACACGAAGGCTTAATGTGGTTCGGCCAATATTGGCCTAAATCCACACACACACAAAGCCCTAGGGGGCTACATCTTTCATTCACTCAACTTTATACTCTTGTTTACATGATACACTATATATATAGAATGAGAACAAATCATGGGGTCTCCATATATTCTGATATCTTTGACAATACAATATTATCTCCAACAAAGTCTTCCATATTCTTATACCAAGCTAAAAACTGTCAGCCCTTGATTAGATTGGGATGACAGGTTTTACATCATGGTATAGTTCTAGAGTTGGACAAAG